CCACCTCCGTTAGAGCTCACCGACCCATGGCCGGGGATCTGCATCGAGAACCTTTCTCGACAGTGGTTGACCACATCGATCTTGTGGGCAGCCCAAGTGGTGCTGACGCCAAGCACTACCAGAAGCACCGCTGAAAGGAGCATTATTCCTTCGGGGTCGATTTCTTCAGATGTTATTATAAGGGACTTCAAATTCACAGAGTCCACAAATCTTTCAAGGTTGTCAAGGATGGGTGAAGTGGATAAATAATAAAACACTTTGACCTTCTGAAGCTTTTAAGTAGACGAAAATGTTCAAGAAAAATCAGGATATGTAGTCTTCCATGAAAGGATGTCACCAAAGGAACTCATCCTCCCTTCCGCCAGGCCCATCAGATCGAGTAGATGTAAATCAGAGGAAAGCACTGTGTAAATATTCACACAGCACCCCCTCCACCATTTCGATCAATTTGATGCACCTTCTGGGTTTCTCTTTGGATGACTTCGATCATTTCTACCTTCAAAAAAAAATCTGAAAACCCTTGGAAGGCGGGCCCCTTTCAGGAACAGTTATGCACCGATGATTAGAATGGCAAAAAAAAGAAAATTCTGGTCGCTCTCGATGGACACGCCCCATAGATGACATGTGGAACTCCTTCATATTGGGCATTTTTATGCTTCTCAGTGGGACCTGTAGTTCAAGGAATCCCCAGAAAACTGCTTGTCAATGTTTTGTTCACCCTACTTCATGCACAGAAGATAGCAAGTCTCCAATTACCTTATCCAACTCGCTATGTGTTCCATTAATGTCAACGCGGTTGAACCAGAAATTAGATGATTGGATTTTATTTTCCCTTCCTGGATGGAGTTGGTGAATTTTTTTCAATGGTTTATATTTGGAGAAATTCCTTGTGGGTGAGTAGGAACCGGCACTTAGGAAAGCTTGGCAAGGGGATTGGAGATACCATGTTATATTCGATATTGCGCTAAATAAAAACTAGAGGCCTCTTCAATCTTGCCCAATTGGACTCGGAGCCCTGGCCGGTGGGACACCGCTGAGCCTAAGATGGAAGATAAGCTTCAACCTACACGATATTTACTTGAACGTGCCGCAATCTTCATCCTGCTGTGTGTTATTGAATGGTGCGTCATGTCAAGTTATGTACAACGCTGGGTGCAGGCTGGATTTCCGGGCGATTTGTTGAGACACTTTTGCAGCACTGTAAGGAGAGCAGGATCAATGAGGAGGATGGTGCTTTTTAGGAGAGGGGGGCCGCCGGTGTCACATGATATTTCTAATCGTTAATCTGAAGAAACAACGTATACATAATTTTGTCTCTGTTGATTTTCAACACCACGTCCAGGCCCTCGTGCATGTCATATTTATGCAGCTTTTTAGTTACCCAGCATCTGAAGCTATGTAGCTGAAGGCCACATCTCAGCCGCATGGGTATCAAAGCAAAACTTCCTCATTCGCAGGAAAACCTAAGCTGGGCATCGACCCACTCACATCTGATGTGTATAGCTATTGCAGTACAATAAAGAAGCACACATAAAACGTTGGTGAAGAGGAGCTTTGTCCTCTCATCAACAAAAGAGCCGACTTCCTGGATCGAAAAACCCCTCAACCAGTTCTCCTAAGGAAGGCTGATAGCGGATTGTCGAGCCAGAACTTGATTGATTCTTTTAGAAAAAAAAAACTAAGAGCCCCAAGATGTTCAAGTCGATAATGATCGTCGCTTTCATCAGTAGCTTACTCATGTCGTCCGCCGTGGATGGTTACACGCTTCATTTCAAGAACAACTGCAAGTTCCCGGTATGGCCAGCGGTAGGAAAAGCCCCAAATGGGCAACCCGACCCGTCGGTCTCGTATGGCACGAAGCTCAATCCGGGAGGCGAAAGCCAATTCAACGTGAACGACCGGGAGATCGGAAGTGAGCAGAAGTAACGAATCTGAGAATCTACTATTTGAAAGGTTCTGTTGACCATGCCTATACTATGCGCTCATTATCAGTCCGCTCGTGGGGACGCACTGGGTGTGATGCGAATGGTGCCAACTGTGCCACCGGAGGTGGGCCCTCTTTCTTCAATGATCGTCAAGATGCGCACAAAAACCATCTTCAACATCTGATCCGTTGACTATGTTTCGTTATTTACCTCATCCAGCCTGTCGAGGTGGGCTTCGTTGTAACGATGGCGGGATCACCTCGAAGGTGTTACTTGGCGAATATGGATACCAATCCTTTGGCAATGTGATCTCCTGGGACCTTTCTCGGGTCGATGGTTCCATCAACAGTTTAGTGTCTTCCCCAAGCTTATCCATCCTTCAGTTTACCGCACATCTTGTGTCCTAACAACTGTGTTTTTTTCATGGAAAAAAAATGCAGTCGATACTTCAATCAGCAATGATAGAAACGTCAAAACCTGTAGGAAAAATAACTGTCCAACTGACCAGGCTTTCGCTCAACCAAACGATTTCCAAGCGGTCACCACCAGTCCGGTGGGTTCGACGTTCAGAACCACGTTTTGTGCTTGATGTGGAAATAGCCCACCCGACTGCTCCACCGCCTTTCCTACATTGAATCTGAATTTGTTGACACCTCACAAAATGAATTCTGAGATGGATCGAGATTTTGTATTCATTAACGCAATAAAATTTTGGCAATAGGAGATGATTGCAATTATCTGGAAGATTTGGTTAAATTTCTAAACACAACAAGAAAATCTGCTTTCTAGTCAGTGACCATACCTATAAAAAGATAGTGCACATTATAAAATCACAAAATTTCAAACCAGGGGATGCTTTCAAATCTTATTGAAGACAAAGGAACTTTGATCTTTGAATTGATTTTAGGGCTGAAGAAAACGGTTTAGTTGCTAATGATGAGAGGGCCAGTTAAACATGTTCAAAAAAAAAAACAAAAAAAAAGGATTGATGGAGGAAAGTGAGAAGGAATCGCAAGATTCCAAAGAACAAAGACTTGAGCGGAGATCGCAATTCCAATCTTGATTGAACCACAATTATATTTTCTCAAGCTCTGGAAACAGGCATTAATATCAAACGCACTAGTAACAGAATTCGAGTTTGATGCCCGAGTTGGGGTTATTAGATTCTTGGATTTGGTAAAGCCCGTCGTTTCCGTCCTGGTGGAAAGCGCCTGGAAAGCCGGCGCTGTTGCAGGATTTTGATTTACCGTTGGTCAGCGTGATACGCAAGGAGTGGTTGTCTAGATGGAAAGCCAAGCAGGCAGAGAAAGGCAAAAGAAAGGCGAGTGTTGTGAGTATCCTGGAAATTGGAGATTACGCTTGGGCTATAATTGAAGACTCAGGTCCGCTTACATCGGTGAGGTGGAATCAGAGTAATGTCGGCAGAGGTTATGCCTGAGACGAGCGAGAACTCGGCGGCGGTGCACGGGACACCATTGACATCGCAATTGTTCCCGACGGACGCAATGACACTGAAAGATATAAAAAAAGAATATTGGTCACATTGGAAAACGAAACTGGTTAAACCCTATTTGTGCAATGAGCTCATGGTAATGAAAGACGAGAAGAAAGGAGAAGAATACCCTCTGACGTCTCCATTGTAAGACCAACTCCCTCCTCCCCCAGAGCTTACTATCCCTCGACCAGGAACCTGCATGGTGAACTTTTGTTGGCATTTGTTGATCACAGTGACTTTGTGAGCAGCCATGGTGGTGCTGGCACTAAGAGCAGCAAGTAGAAGAACTAAAAGAAACATCTCTTGACGTTTGATTTCTTAATTTTCCAGATATTTCACTGTAACTGATATTATTAAATAAATAAATAACTAGTCGGAGTGGATGTTGAGAAGTTATATGAATCTAGGCAGCGTCTCAAGCTGACTATAAATAGAAGATAGTCAACAGGCATTGTGAGTCTTCTATGACTGGATGCCAGCCATCGCCCAAGAAAGATGGTGTTTGACCAGGCTCATCCTTCAGAGCCCATTAGCGTCTCACTCACACAGCACTTGTCCCCGGTCTTCCGTCCCAGTTCTCTTTACCTTCAAGCTCACCCAGCAAGGAACTCCTTGTATCGTAATGAGTTCTCATCCCGATCAATCATTCAATGATATGAATGGCCCGAGTAAGCTAGCTTATGCTCCGTTCTCAGCATTGCCGCTTTCACGAGGCCTCAAAGTCCCTTCGACCTCAGCAGAAATACCTATTAAGAGTATTTGTAATGAATGAAAAAATCGTCAAATTTTGTCGGCAGTTGATTTGAATTGCAGGCTTTCAGCAACAATGTTTCCCACCACGATCTTTTTTTTGTTTTGTTTCCTTTCATAAGCCGCATGATGGATTTCCAGGAAATTGCTTCTTAATTCGATCGTTTATAGATTTTGGATTCGTCATACTATAGGGGGACCCTTAGGAGAGCCTGCCGGAGGAACGATTGGCAGTGCCTTGTTTTCCCTCAAGTTCAATGTATTAACAGCAGCTGAGACGATTCAAAATAATTTATTGGTGACTTGTTTGGAGGACATCCGGTAAGGTTGGGACGATTAGACCAGGCTTACGTGGTGCGAGGCTTTTCCCCAGTCGCGTGATCGAACTGGACATGGATTGGACCACAATAATTAAAGGGCAGCAATGTCCAATGATCCTACCTCATGGCCCCCCACTCAACAAATAATTTCAGGTAACACCTACTTTCATAAGTGCCGGCTGGATTTCCGGGAAGCTTGGTTGCATCGATTTCAATAGACGGGGAGAAGTGTAGGTGGGATGCTGCCCGCTTGGAGAAACGTGGTCATTGTTTTTTTCTTCTTCTTCTCAATGCATTGCAGTCTCCTCTTGCTACTTGAGAAAGACAGGCGAGCAGAGCCAGAGAAGCTGCATCCTCTCAACTTCAAGGATAAAAGAGCTCTCCTGAGTACTACCTGTCACTGCTTAAAGGCTGACCAAATTGTGACTTGAAAATTTGAGTCAATCGAGTCTCGACCCTCTCTGATCAAGAATACATCTATTTCTATCGGAAGCTATCAATATTCACAAGATGTTAAAGGCAGCAGTGATTATCGCTTTACTCAGTAGCTCCATACTGGCCGTTGTCGTCAATGGTTACACGCTCCACTTCAAGAACAATTGCAAGTTCCCGGTATGGCCAGCGGTAGGGAAAGCGCCCAACGGACAACCAGACCCGTCGGTCTCGTACGGCACCAAGCTCAACCCAGGCGGAGAAAGCCAGTTCGGCGTGAATGACCGGGAGATCGGAAGTGAGTGGTCTCCACACAACTTACAAGCCCTGCCGACCCGTCGTCCGCTTTTGAGCTTCTTTCTCACTTATCATGTCTCATCCACACCAAGTCCGCTCATGGGGACGCACAGGATGTGATCCCAAGGGCGCTAATTGTGCAACTGGAGGCAAGTCCTTCTTCCTGATTCTCTTCAACCCTATTCACAAGGAATAATTCTTAGTTGAATGTGTTTTCTCCTATTATTGATTGTATAAGCCTGTCGAGGTGGACTTCGTTGTAACGAGGGCAGGATCACTTCGAGGGTGTTGCTTGGTGAATACGGCTACCAATCCTTTGGTAATGTGATCTCCTGGGACTTATCTCGGGTCGATGGTTCAATCAACAGTTTAGTGTCTTTCTTCCATGAGAGTCGAGACCCAGCCCCCCCCCCCACCAATAATCACATTTCTCAATCATATTAATCCTTTTTTGGTTTATTTGCTTGAAACCCATGTATGTATGTATGTAGTCGATACATCCATCAATAACGGAGGAAACGCGAAGACTTGTAGGAAGAATAACTGTCCATCGAACCAGGCTTTTGCCAAACCAAACGATTTCCAAGCGATCACCACCAGCCCGGTAGGTTCGACTTTCAGGATCACGTTTTGTGCTTGATTATAGAAAGCACAAACCTCTCTATCCATGTTCTCTTTCCCCCCTTTCATTGTATCCAAGACCCGTGTTCGTCTATCTTACCCGCTAGACAGGCCAGAAAGATGATCGTGGACGTAGACCTAGGGCCTCCTATTACTAACGTGAGCGTCATGAGCAGGCATGAGGTGGTAAATGAAATAACTCAGAGGCGTGGGTCTCAATGGGACTTTTGCGCGTAAATTTGGGGAGTTTATCAGCACAGAAAGTATGGGCTATCAAGACATCATGTCTCGCATATGCCTGATTCTCAAGAAAAAGGCACGGAGAAAGTAGGATAAAAGTTTGAATATAATATACGTGTATTCATATACCGCAATCAATCATTTGGATGTAAAAATGACATGTACAAAGTAACAGGGTTTTAAAGATAACAAGAAAACAATACATAACAGATGAGCTAGGTAAACACTTTACAAACATTTTTTTCTTTCTTTTTGTAACACATTTGATATTGAGAGGTTTAGTAGTGGAGCAATGGGAGAGAAAAGAGATAAAAACTGCTTTGTGTTGGTTTGAGGTAAGAGAGATAAGAGAAGAAGAAACAAAAACTGCTTTTATAAGGTCGGCATGAAAGCTGAGTTTGAACACAAGTCGAGGACATAATAAGCAAAAGTACAGATTTCTTCGGTTAAGCGATCAAAGGTGCACGTTCGGAATCTGTAAGACGAATCCTACCTCCCCTGAACGAAGAGTAGAATGCCTAAAGAAACGAAGAGAAGAAGTAGGAAAACGTCAAACAAAAAAGACTTGACAATTCATGGTCGAAGAGATTGATAAAGCTTACTTTGATGATCGCTAGGAGGGTAGCGATAAAGGCTGCAAAGGCAACCCAATGGATACTCTCGGGATCAGTTTGACGAGTGAAGACGCCAACAAGCTCGATTGCGATGACGATTGCGCCGGCTACGTCTCCTTGATCACTGTGTATAGTATAACCGACCCCAGTACTACCCACACCAGCACAAAATTAGCCAATGATTATGAGAAAGCAAGGAAGAGGGTTTACTAACGAGGCAAGTAACAAGAGGGCGATGATGACGAGTGCTTGGGTGATCGGACCGGCCTTATGATCAGCCCTATCGACCCCAAAGGCAGTGAATGCACTCAAGACGAGGAGGAAGACCAGGTAAGCATGTAGTAAGCTGAACGGTAAATGGACCAGGATCAGTTCCGTCTTCGATCGCAGACTCGAGGCTACCAGGTCCCAATACACATGCGAAACTACTGATGCAACGATCAATGAGAAATGAAGGCTAGATGTAATGGTGGCCCGCGATAACTAATCGGTTGTTGGAAGTTCAGATTAGACATGTCAGG